AGACAGCCTCTACATGTGGCACATGGCAGATCATGGAGGGGACAATAGCACAGCAGAAGATAGGGCAGGAAGCAGAAAACAGAGCAGGGAGCACAAGGCAGAGAGTGGAAAGAAGAGCAACAGATTGAGCACAGGCAGGGGAAAGAGCGGCACTCAAACAGGGTACAGGGCTAATTTGTGGCATCTGCCAAAAAGGTTGGTCCCTGATGATTTAGAAGTTTAGTGGCATTTGTTTTCCTGCTCAGTATCTCCAAACTGCCTGGCTGGTAAGAGCATTCAGTGAAGATGTGCCAAACACAATTTTCAGGGGGTGCATCTACAAAAATGCAATTAGTGTGAAGAAATAAACTCTGCTGAAGTTTGCACTCAGTCAACTGCTCCTGGGAACAGCATTTACACATGTACCCAATACCACAGCAGTTTGAGCCAGGGCAGAGCGGCCCTGGGCTAGCAGGGGATGTGGGGGGTCAGCTCCAGGCCCCATGGGGCAGCATTGGGTGGCAGAGAGGCTGACTGAGGCACAAGGGTGCTACAGTGTGGGGCTAGCCAGCTGGCAGCCCCTGCACTTTAGCACCCTCGTTCCCCAGTCAGCCCCTGTCACCCTCTACATATGTGTTTCGGGGGAGTAAATTACTCTTGCTGTAGGATAGTCTGTCACTGACAATACTATCCTATGGCAGAGTTAATTAATTTACTGTGCCCTAATACCTGCACACATGTAGATGGTGACGCTTTACTGTGGAGCTAATTAGCCAACTCTGCAGTAAAGCACATGTGTAGGTGCACCCAGTGTTATTTTAAATACTGATATTACTAGCAGTAGCTATGAAATGTCTGGACAGTAGGGCACAGGATTTCTCACTGTGTTCACTGCAAAATGAACACTGACGTGGCTGGGGAAGAATGGATGCTTCCATATTGGTCTTCCATACTTTGCTCTCTGACAATTAATTGAAAGGACATCAAGCCATAGCATTCAGATAGGCACCCACATGAACTTGTTCAAAGTAGGAAGGATTGAGAAAAAAGCTTTATATCCAGCATCTTGGCCTGGAGGAAGATAGAGGAACAATATTCTTTAAAGCTGAATAAAACCTCCATTACACTGGAGTTTCAGAACCTCCAGAATTGGAAAAGCAATTCCTCTCCCTTTGAAGAAGATAAATGATTGTGAGGCAATGACATTTTATATTTGTATGAAACATCTCTGAGGTATAGTCTGTAAAGGAAAGACCTCAGGCGCTACCAGTTTCCCTTAATTATATTTGTAATCAGTATTTCTTCCTATGCTGACGCTGTTGGTTTTGGGATATGGCTGCTTCTTGTTATGAGTGATCAAACAAAACAGGAGAAAGGATAGTCTTGTAGCTGAAGCATTGGCCTGATATTCAGGAGAAGTCAATTCAGTTCCAGATTCTGCTATAAATTCCCTCTGTGACCTTGGCAAGTCATTTTGCACAAATCTACATCATCTCTGTGCTGCATCTGAGGCTCTTGCAGATCAAGACCCTCTTCACATGCTCATCTAGCACAAACCAGATGAGTCAGTAAAGCCAATTTAGATGTGTCCTTAATCTCCCTGCATCATTGCGTCCCCTCTGTAAATTGAGGATAATATTTCCTACCTATAGAGGTGTTAGGAGGATACATTAATTAGTATTAGTGTTGACGTAAGTCAAGTAGACACCCAGGGTGCAGACAGAAGTGCAGCTCCCTGCTGTAACTGAGAATGCTTTGCAGGAAGTGCTCTAAGGTACAATGATCCCCCAGACCAAACAGAAGTTCACTGTTGGTTCCAGGAGGGAAATCTAGCTGCTGGCTGGGAGTCTGCAGCCAGCTTCCCCTAGCAACGGCCCCTTTCTCCCTGCTAGATGGCAAAGTTTTCAGAATGGTAGGGGGGAATGGGAGTTCATTCTAGGGGTTCCCCAGCCAGTGCTGGAGGGTGGGGTGGGTGAACTGGAGTCCCCCCACATTGGGGGGGACTCCAATTCACCTGCTCCACCCTCTAGCAGGGGCTGAAAAAAACCCAGACCAAACTCCCTCTGCTCCCTTTCTCCCTGTTCTGAAAACAGCTCAAGGCTGGCAAGCAGTGCAGACACAAGTTACAGAAGACGCTCTCTGTTTTGAAATGTCTACATCTGACCCCTCATGCAATGAGGGGTCAGATTTTCACCTAATCAGTCAATTTTAAAGCAGTCTGCAGCTGTGCACTTGTGTTTGTGCGTGCTTCACCCTCCACTTGAAGTTAAAAAAGTCTTTATCCAGATAAATCAGGTTTGCTGATTTTGCTGTAGGTTTAAAACATAAAACTCTCGGAAGCAAAAATAGCTCTATTAGAGAAGTGAGTGAGTGAGAGTGAGAGAGTGAGAGAGAGAGAGAGTGAGTGTGAGTGTGAGTGTGTGTGACACAGAGAGAAAGCACTCAGTACTGCTGTATAATCTGTACTCTTTATCTGAATCTTACTCTACCAGGTTAGCATGGATATTCAGACTCCCAGTGGAGAGAGAAGCAGCCAGGGGAAGAGAAAAGGGAAAGAATGAGAGAAACTGGAAATGAGTAAAAGGGCCAGTGGACAAAAAACAAGAGAAATACATAAAATATAAATGCAAATTTCAAGGTACTCTAGCTGGTATTTTCCACTGTTATTGCTGTGCTATCTGCCTGGTCAGTAGACATGCAGTATCCCCTGAACCCCTGGTCTCCTCATTAAGGGTCTCATATATATAGTCTTCTCCAGTGTGTCTGCTCCAGGATGCTTTTCCATTCTAATGTTAGAGCTGCTTTAGCATTTCCCAACCCAAACCTTGGGGTTATTTATGCCTGTGACAGAGATCCACAAGCAGCTGCCATCCTTCCAGCATGGTCTGGGTCAGAGCTCCTAGTCCCTCTCAGGAATATCAGATATACTATCATAAATGTTTCATCCTGTCTTTAGAGGTTAGGAAAGATACAAAGCAGCTGAGCAATGTGACAAGGAGTGGGCAGTTAGGGGTTGAGAAGAGTGAAATGAGACATTAATGGAATGGGAGGGAGAGGAAGACTTGATAGTGATACACTATTTACAAAGCAGAGAAAAAAAGATCATCTTCCTAGCCAGATTCTCAAGACACCCAAGGACTACACACTAAAGACAAAGCTACCAAAGAAGTAGCAGGAGAAGCCAGAGCCCATAGTTCTGATGAGGTTCCCTTATGTGATTGGTGTTATATATACATAAATGTGCAAGTATTAACCTATGTGTGTGGACACACACACACACACACACACACACACACATATACATACATATACAGGTGCTCACACACATGTATACAGATACACACTCCCAATCTCTTTTCTGAAGATTTTCAGCATAAGAGAACTCTGGAAAAACCTCAGGTGAGTGAGCTAGACACTTCACTCCATAGTAAGTAATGAAGGCCACAAACCGTCTTCTGTAAATATTTTCTCCAACTTGTCAGTGAATTAACTAAACTGGAATTTGGCATCAATGGTAGGGGTAGCACTTCTCATCAATTAAAATGTAAAAACCAGAGGGAATGCTGACTGTGGTACAGCAGCAGATTTTATAAAGTGCATCTAATTTAAAGGGCAGTTTCCAGCATGCTGTTTCACCAGTCCTCTGCTTATGTTCAGGGTTGACTCGGTAGGACAAATGCCATCAACTGAATCATCAGCACCATCTACCATAACACCTTGTTTTCCCTTGGAGATCTCCCATCCCTGAGTTGACTCAGCCTGATCTTTCTTAGGCTGTAAGATCTGATAGGATCACAATTGCAGCTTGAGGTGTAATGGCATGGTTGCTGGTCACATTAAATCCAGTACTAACTAAAAGCTTCCTGTGATCTAGGATGCAATATTCTGCTGTCCACTCCCTGTGACTCTATATAGTCGGGGGCTGCTCTGCAACTTTTCCAGCCCCACCTATCTGGAACACTTTCCCACCGAGACACTGAGTCACTTCCTCTTCAGAAAGCTCACCCACAATCCTTCCTTTTCACTTTGGCTTACAAACTAGCATTAACTCTGTCTGTGAAATGAAACTTTACTCATAGATAAAACTGTTCAGGAATTTTTTGATAATAATTTTGTTTTGCTGGAAAACATCAATTTGTCAAACCATATCTTTTGTGGAAACATACCAGTTTTGATTAGATTTTTATCAAGAAAGTTTTTTTCTGGCCCTGAGTGGAATGTCTGGCCAAAGAGAGAGAAGGAGAGGCCCCTGGACCTCAGATGGCCAAAAAACTGGTGATTAGGGTATTCATGTGGGAGAATCGGGTTCAAGTTGTTGGTCTACGTTTGGCAAAGCATTCTTTCCCCATAACCCAGGTGAGTGTCTGAATCACCAGACAAGTACAGGCTGGCACTCTTTTAGCCTCTTCTGTTGTGCAGTCACTCCACTTGATATTGGAGCAGGCACTTGAATCCGGAGTGAGTTATAGTGACTACCACATCCAACAGGCTATTGACCATTCTCTTTCTCTTATTTATCCTGAGACAATTTTACAAGTTTAAGGTTCTTCATACTGCAATAAGGGAATAATTTTGAACAGTTAGAAATTTTGTCAAAAAAAAAAGTCAGTTTGTTCAACCCTAAATGTTTCTGCTGAATGTTTCCTTTTCATGCTCACTGACCGTTTGACAAGTCAAGGGCATGGTTCCTGTGGCACCTACCTTGATTCATGGTGGGCTGCTGGGGACTTTGGGACTTCCAGGATCTTCAACATCATGGCAGCTAGCCATACTAGGGCTTCAAGGTTCGCTGTCTGAAAGCTAAGAATAGGAAAGCCTTGGGAAGCCCAGATCTATCTGCCAGATTACATGCCACAGAGTCAGCACTCACATTCAGGAAATCTTAAGGAAGTCTCATGGGATCTCTTGCTTTGGAATAGCCCCAATGTTTGGGCCACCCAATTTTGTGGAACCTGGAAGCACGAGGGTGGTCCATGGCTGGGGCAGCTTGCCTGGTTCAGGGGCTCCAATTCTTCCAGAGTCTGGTGTTCTGGGGAAGATAGGACTTCCAGGTTGCAGAGCCCCTGTTATAAGCAGGTCTTATCTCCTGGTTCTCTTCTCAGAGAGACCTGTTGAGAACCAATTCAGCCTGAAACAACATTTAAAAAAAATAAATGGAAATATCTCACAAGCTGGAAATCATGCATTCTAGCCAGCTCTAATTCTTGTTAAATATACTATGCTGTGCCTCCATTTCAACAACAGCATTCATGAATTTGTGCAACATCACCAATAATTTGTTGTCAGTAATACTGACCTTGTTTGTTTCCTCAAAGTTGAGAGAACTGCACCTGCTGACTGCATTAGAAATAAAAACTGGTTCATAGTCCATCTACGTATGCTTTTCATTCATTTAGAAGGCAAGAGGCAACTGGTAGGCTTGGCTCTTTTCATTTTCCTAATACACAGTGCTTTGGGATGATTGTCCCTTAGATGGTCTTTGAGACTTTTTTTTTAAATAAGATCAGATTCTGATAACTTAATCTTACACACAGTAAATTTGCTGCTAATATTCCACTTAATTTCAATGAAACTATTCAAGCTGTAATGCCTATTTATCTTGAGTAGGTGTGGAACAATCTGTCCCTGAGCAGACCTGCCACAATTTGATAACTAGAATATTATTGTTATCTGAAAGAAATCCTTCTTTTATTTCTATATGACAGCTCCTCAGTAACATTGGAGGAATAAAGTCTCTCCATTCATTTAGTTTCTGTGATCTAACATTAGCCAAGTGTCTGGCTATAGGCATTAAACTAGATCCTGACAACTGTCCAGAAGAAGTTATCAGAGAGTTACAAATATATCTGGATGGGTAGGGATCTGGTGATTTTGGAAAGGCGAGTGCTCTATAGATTGGAAACAACAAAGACAAACTTGCTTCTGACACAATTCATTTTACCATGAAACTCCATAACAGAGAGAACTTCAAGGGAAACTTCTTAAGGAAAATATCTATATGTTTGTCCTTCATTCTGGTCAAAGGTGTTCCTTTCAGGAGGGTTAGTTTCTCCTGTGTTTTCTATTTTGTATGCAAAATGTAGACCCACATTAACTTAGAAAACAAAGGCACAGGGAGGGGAAATATTTCTGCATTAATATAACCTCCAACTCAATGGTGAAGACCCCCAAAGGGTTTCAGCTGCAAAAGAACCAGAGTCAATCTGTCTTTCTCACCCCCTCTATTTGTCAGTTGTGCTCGCCTCCCCCTCTTTTCTACTGTGTCACTTTTCACTCCCATTCTACTGTATGCGCATATAAATCATGCCAGAAATGCTTCACTCACTAACACCTACCTGCTGGAGCTTGGATTCAGAGGGAAAAAAACCAACCCCAAACCCTGGCAAATTCTTATAAATCACAGTGCTTCTAATCTCCTTTCAAGAGAGTCAAATGTAAAGTCATGTTCTTTCTTGTGAAAACATTACTAGCCTGTGGGTGTCAACACATCTTTCTTTTCCAAGAAATCTGTTGCATCCCACAGTGAGTCTAGAGAAATTGCACTCTGATAACAGTGAAGAGAGGCTGCTAGAAAACCATCACACGCCAGACCCATACAACACCATCCTCAACAAGCACTTGTTTATTTTTTCTAAGCTCAGCTCTCTCCATACAGAGTCAAATAAAATATGACCAAAACAAATTTTAGTTTTTACACTTTTTGTCTTGGGCCCTGAAAAAAGGCTTTTTCCATCTCCCCTTTTTATCTCCCTTTTCATGCCATAACTCTCTTACTTCCAGCCCTTCTGGAGGATGAACTGCACCTGTAGCCACCTGGTTGTTACCTTTACACCTATTTCTACACCTGACATGTCTACTTTCACTCAATATTATTCTACAACAGGGGTTTCAAAGATGAGGCCCACAGGGCAGATCCAGCCCATGGAGCCCCATCATCCAGCCCTGAATCTGCTCCTGGGTCTGAGTTGATTCACACACCCCAGCCAGTCCAGGATGGGGGCTGCGTGTGGCACAGTCCCAAACCAGCCCAGTCATTATTGACTCCAAGATGAACATGAGCCGCCAATGCCAGACCGCAGCCAGCAAGGCCAGCCATACCTTGTCATGCATCCAAAGATGTATCTCAAGTCAGTCCAGAGAGGTGATTCTCCCCCTCTATGCGACATTGGTCAGGCCGCAATTGGAGTACTGCATCCAGTACTGGGCGCCGCACTTTAGAAAAGATATAGCCAGCCTGGAGAGGGTTCAGAGGAGGGCCACCCACTTGGTGAGAGGGCAGCAGGACAGGCCCTATGAGGAGAGACTGAGGGACTTGAACCTGTTCAGCCTCGGCAAGAGAAGGCTGAGGGCGGACCTGGTGGCTGCCTACAAACTCATCAGGGGAGATCATCAGCAAATAGGCAGAGCCCTGTTCTCCCCAGAACCACCTGGGGTGACGAGGAACAATGGTAATAAGCTGATGGAGAATAGGTTTAGGTTAGAGATGAGGAGGCAATATTTTACAGTTAGGGTGGCCAGAATCTGGAAGCAACTTCCTAGTTGCTTCCAGAAGTGGTCCTCGCCCCTACCTTGGGTAAATTCAAAAAGAGGTTAGACGATCACCTGTCTGGGGTCTTGTGAACCCAGCATTCATTCCTGCCTGTGGCAGGGGGTCAGGCTAGATGATCTGTTCAGGTCCCTCCTGACCCTAGCTACTATGAAAAAAAAAGTTTTTAAAGATCCCAGACTTGCTGGGGTGGGCGCTGCATGAGTCTTGGGTCCTGAAATAGGTACTGCATGCACTGGATCTGGTATAGGGGGGAGGGTCAGTGGGGCTGATCTAGCCCATGGACCAGCCCCATGACACTCGTATGACCTGCAGGGCCAGATGAATTTGACAACCCTGGTCTACAAGATAAGGCAGCAGGGGATATGGCTCAGGGACTGTATTATTCTGACATAGGACTCTCTGCTTATGAAGATAACATCCAAGGTCTTGAGTCTCAGTGCTGAAACATCAGCAGAACATGTATGGATGCAAGGATCTGACCATGTAGAACAGTTTCAGGGAATAAGCCATATTTTTAAAGCCTTCATAGCTCCTGAATAATCCATCCTTCACTTGGAGGAATAGCCATTTTGCACAAAGTGCCATTTCAAATAAATGATGGAATAGATGATACTCGTTGAGGTGACAGTGAAATAAAATTAATCAAAGTTCAAACTGCACTGAGAAAGGATGATGGTAACCAACGAGGATGTCTCCCTTATCTGTTAAAACAAATTCCTTTTTCCAATTTAAATAAGTGGATAACTGGTACTTCTGGATTCCCCTGCAAAATCAGAAGCATCAAAAACTAAGCTGAGGTCCTTCCAGCTCCCTAAAAATGAATCATCACCTGTTTTTTTCCTTAAGAGACAGCATGTATGCCCTGGTATATGCGCATGTTGGTAGTGAATCTAGAGTTTGGACCATGGACTAGCCTTTGCTACTTCATATTTTCTTGCATACAACATGCATCTTTCCCCCCCCTCCTCCCCACAAAATACTGGATACGCTGCTGGAAATGCTGGGGTGAGCATTATAAGCCAGAAAATACAATAACAGTAGTTTCTGCCTCTGCTGGAGGCAGTTGGGACAGAAGGGAAATTAGCACTGCAGTGCTACATGTGGGGATCCCTGACTCCTGGCTGTGAACACTGCTGCAGAAGCTGCTCCTCAGTGGGCACGTCTACACATGCATATTAATGTGCCGCAATAAACTCCAGCTCATATCACAGTGTACTTTATTGCTCCCAGATGTTGCTTTTACACGTGCATACTGAGAGGGGTCGGAGCAGCCCTGGCTGGCAGGATGCCTGGGGGCATCAGCCTGCCAGCCTGAGGCTGTTCTGACTGGGCTCAATGTACTGTGGATGGGCTGGCTGGGGCACAAGTGCCAGGCTAGCCTACTGGCATCCCCTCACTGAATCACTCTTGTGCCTCACCAGCCAGCTGCGTCAGCCTCTATGGCTGCTTACAGGTGTGATGGCAGAGAATAAACCTGGCGCTTTACTTTCAACTCAGTGCACCCCCATGCCAAGTCCAGTGCATACCTAGTAGAGGCATCACACCAGTTTGACCCAGCTCCCCAGCATCTATTTAGATTGTGCACTTCAGCAGGGCTTTTGGTGCTTTTACCTAATAGCTGATTGAATCAGCCATTAGATGAAAGTGCCAAAAAGCCCCATTGAAGCACATGGTGTACACAGACACTGAGTGAGCCGAGTCAAACTGATGTGATTCCTCTTCTGGTAAAGTGCTATTTTGGGGTTTTTTCCATATATATCAGCAGCCTACATGTGTGGTGCTGTGAAGTTAAAAACTCCACACCAGAGTGCCTAAATACAAGTACTACCCTGCTGCAGAGTTTATTAGTTTCCTGCAGCCTAATAGGACTGCACATGTAGATGCTGAGATGTTTAATGTGGAGCTAATTAGTCTACTCTGCAGTAAATGTCTCATGTAGATGAGCCCAGTTACTGCTATTTACCAGTATTTTTAAAGAAAGATTTTTTTCTTCATTTTCCCTTTCAAAAATAGGAGAAATATCTTATTCAGAGGCATGTTGTATGTGAGAAAATATGGTATATCTGCTCCCAAATAACAACTCTGTGTCTAGCCAATTTAAATGGACTCATGGATCTCCCATCAAGCTCTTCACTGTAGACAGTATTCTTTTCTCTTTTCTCAGTACTCATCCTGTTGCCCAGGGAAATCAAGATAGCAATTTACTTAAATTGCAGTTACCACCATAAGAGCATCTGTGTTTGCTAGCTAATATATGCACACCTTGGGAATGAAAAGGCCCCACTACACTTGATGTGTGAAGTGTTTACCAGCTAATGGGTGAGCACCTCGCCATGTGATTCTGCGTTCATCAGAGGGTTTATTTTACAACTAAAGAAGATTTTCACTAAATATTAAGGTACCTAAGAGACCAGCTCCAGTGGGGTGAAGTAAATATTGGCTCAAAAAGAAGCAAAAGGGAGCTGGGAGCTGCTTGCATTTAATGTTTGGTGCTTCACCTTCACAACCAAAACAGCAGAAGGAAGAAGCCACCTCTACTTCACTTTTGAAATCCTGCCTCCATTTTCCCTGCAGTCAGATGGTGGGAGGGTGTGAGCAACTGCTAGCTGATTGTTTTGTTTTAATTTCCACAATTCACTCCCTTCTCATTTTTAAATCTTTCCCTCCCACACAGCTGGCAGCAGCAGGCTGAGTTGTCTCTTCTGAGCTCTGCATTCCAGCAGCTCAGCTGGAGGGAGAGGAAGCAGAACAGCAGGCCAGATTTTTTGTAAGGATTTAGGCTCCTAAAGATGAATGCAGATGCCTAAAGACATTAGCACCTAAGTGCCTAAGTCCTCTTAATTTAATTGGATAGTGTCTATTTACCCCTCTACCATAAAACACCCGCCCCATAGTTCTCTTCTGTCTGCCTCTGACTGAATAATCTGAGGAAAGTTTACAAAATCTGTACCAAACCCATCAGTAATGAGAAGGGGAAGGAGCAGAAGGGAATGCCACTTAAAAACAAACATGCATGTAAAGGATTCTAATCAAATTGTAAAATAAAGTTAATTATTTTTTATGAACAGTTTCATTTTAAATACTAAATTCACAAACATTACTGAGCTCTTTGTACAGCCTTGTATTTCTTGGCTCCAGTTTGCAAATCATGTAAGCTCCTGGTTGAAGATGCTTTCCTGTAATGTGGCTTCTTTGGGAGATGCCCAGATGGGGGTTAATCATCTACTGACAGGGTTATCAAACTCATCTGGCTCAGCAGGCTGGATGAGTGACCCAAGGCCAGTCCATGAACCAGATCAGGCCAACAGGCCTACAAACCCTGAACCCTCTCCTCCCCCCATGCTAGATCCAGCACCCATTGCACCCCCTCCAGCTGCTCTCAGATCCGTGCTGCATGTGATGCATGTCCCAAGAGCAGTTGAGGTGGGCATCTTGTTCAGCACGGGTCCTGCAGCAGCCAGAATGGGTGCCATCTGTAGTGTGGATTCCGGACTGGTCAGAGCAGGTGCTGTGTGCGGCACATGTCCTAGAGACCTGAGGCTGATGCCACAAGTGGTGCAGTTCCTGGAGAAGCCAGAACGGGCACCATGTGCAGCATGCATCTTGGACCTTGCCTGTGGGCCCAGTTTGGATAAATTCAGATCCAGCACCAGGGTCCAGATAATAGGGATCCACAGGCTGGATCTGACCTATGGGCTGTATGTTTGACACCCCTAAAATAGAGCTATGCCAGTTCACACCAGATGAGTATCCAACCAATGGCCTGAAAATCCCTGTCAATCAATTAGCAGCTTATCCACAACCATTATTTTTACTAACTATTCTCACTGCAAACAAGAAACAAAAAGTCCTCCTGGTGTCCCTGTTGTGTGAGACGCTGCAGATCCATACAATATATGCTCTTTCTGTCCAAAGAAAGCTTTGCCACTTATTTATTCCTTTATCTGCCACACTCCTACACATGGTCAACCCGAATACCATGTGGGGGTTTCACTGGGCACTTGAAGAACTGAGCCTTGGTCAGGAAGGCACCACAGAATTACTCATGGTGGCAGGCCAAATGAAATGTAAGTATTACCAATTCATCCAATTATTTTTCAGTGGAAGCTGGGGCCAGAAGAGACTTTGTAGGTCATTATTCTTGATATTTCAGACATTCTTGTTTTTAGCTTTGTTCTGCAGAAAGAAATAATAGTTTGTTTCACTGACAGCACAAGACAAGGAAAAATTAGCACATTTTATAGGACATAAAAAAGTCCATTAGAAAATGATGTTTTAGGAAAAGACATTTTTCACCCTGCAACACACATCCTCGTAGAGTCACACAATAAAATATTGATGAAAAACATATGACTATGCTTCCCAGACATGATTTTTCAAGTATTTTTCTACAAATTGAAAAGGATTTTAAAAGAATAATAAGGGAATGAGACTGATAAAAATTGAGAACAAGTAGTGGTAGTTTTAAAAAAATCTCTCTCTCAATTGTGCTGGCTCTGTTCACAGAAAAAAAAAATTAATGATAGGCTCTCATAATTTGATTTTTGGTAGCTCATGGAACTTCCATGTTTTAGTTCACTTTGTTCCCTTTTAAAATTAGAAACTGGCCCAAATCCAAACCCAAGTTTGAGCTCTCCAGAAATTTTGGATTACTGGACATCTGAATGCAGATCCTCATTTTCCCAATGAGCCAAATAAAACCCAAGGTCTGTATGTCCCCAAACTGTAATGCTTTGCAACTGGATCTACATTTCCTCTACTGAAAAATGCAATTACAGTCTGGAGAAAACAAAACAAAAACATCCAAAAAAAGAGACAGAAATGGTTGAACATGTTAAAGTATTCGCATAACTGGAAAAACTTCTATAAATAGAATCATCCATGAATTCAAAATTACTTGGTGTAACTTGAGTTCAAGTTCTGAGTTATTCAAATGTATGTGATTTTGAAATAAACTCCCAACATTCAGTCACATCTAATAGTATAGGATACATGCATTTCAAGCATGCTGTGGAAGCTGAACCCGAGACAATTTTTCATTCACAAGCAAAACTTAATGTTCATAAAAATATTTATGTCTCTTCTCTCACCTCCTATGAGTGTCTTTAAAAATTAGGAATATTAGGCCTTGTGTAGATGAAACAAGAGGCATGTGTGCACAACACTTTAAAGCGGACTAAATGCTTTTGCAGTGCTTTAATGGTGTCAGTGTTTGCATGCCTCTGTGGCATATTAGACATTAATTCCCCCTGCCATAGGAAATTCAGCAGCATAATGCGCCTTAAATGACTTGGGGCACAGCAAACTAAAACTCCTTCAAGGAGTTTTAGTTTGCTGCCCCTATGGCCTTGGAGCGAAGCACCAGGCTCCGTGCAGCTCCACGGCTCTATGGGAAGCCCTGCAGGCAGCCTGGCAGCAGCCCGGGAAAGCAGCTCTGCCCAAGAAAAGCCATGAGCCTGATATTTCCCCCCACACACCATGAGCCTGCCTGAGCTGTGTCAGGGCCCAGTGCTTCCCTCCACAGCTGTGGTGCCCCCCCGGGACCGCCCAAGCCAGGTGCCTACAGGCAAGTGCCACCTGGGGGGGCTATAGCTGCCACAGAGGGAAGCATGGGCTGCTCCTGCAGCCCAGGGACCACTCCGCCCGCTGGCAGCTCACCCTCCCCTCCCTGCCAGAGAGGCAAGTAAGTCAGTGGGGTATGTGCATGATACAGGGGTTTAATCAGCCCTAAATTGAAGTGGTGTTTTTTAAAACCCACCACTTCAATTTAGGACCCCCATTTCATCTACATATGCCCTTAGAGACAAATAAGAAATCTGTCCCCACAAAAGTCACTCTTAGACTTTGTGATATTCCCACTGTCATCAACATTTTAGACAATGCTTTTATTTATTGATTTGCAGGAACTCCTAAAAGCTATACATAAGATCAGAGATGTAGCAACTTGCATCTGTGCCCAGAGCAGCAGCAGCAATAGCCGATGGAGGGGTGGCCAGTGCTAGGCCAGCTCTGGCAGCCACGGCAGCTC